AAAATAGATAGCTAGTGGGAAGCAGCCACATAGCACAGGGAGATCAGCTCGGTGCTTTGTGACCACCTAGAGGGGTGGGATAGGGAGGGTGGGAGGGAGGGAGATGCAAGAGGGAAGAGGTATGGGGACATATGTATACGTATAACTGATTCACTTTGTTATAAAGCAGAAACTAACACACCATTGTAAAGCAATTATACTCCAATAAAGATGTCAAAAAAGAAACAAAAAAAAAACAAAAAAAACATAGGCAGAACACTCTATGACATAAATCACAGCAAGATCCTTTTTGACCCGCCTCCTAGAGAAATGGAAATAAAAACAAAAAGATGGGACCTAATGAAACTTAAAAGCTTTTGCACAGCAAAGGAAACCATAAACAAGACCAAAAGACAACCCTCAGAATGGGAGAAAATATTTGCAAATGAAGCAACTGACAAAGGATTAATCTCCAAAATATACGAGCAGCTCATACAGCTCAGTATCAAAAAAACAAACAACCCAATCCAAAAATGGGCAGAAGACCTAAATAGACATTTCTCCAAAGATGATATACAGATTGCCAACAAACACATGAAAGGATGCTCAACATCACTAATCATTAGAGAAATGCAAATCAAAACTACAATGATGTATCACCTCACACCAGTCAGAATGGCCATCATCAAAAAATCTACAAATAATAAATGCTGGAGAGGGTGGGGAGAAAAGGGAACCCTCTGGCACTATTGGTAGGAATGTAAATTGATACAGCCACTATGGAGAATAGTATGGAGGTTCCTTAAAAAACTAAAAATAGAACTATCATATGACCCAGCAATCCCACTACTGGGCATATACTTTGAAAAAACCATAATTCAGAGTCATGTACCACAATATTCACTGCAGCACTATTTACAATAGCCAGGACATGGAAGCAACCTAAGTGTCCATCAACAGATGAATGGATAAAGATGTGGCACATATATACAATGGAATATTACTCAGCCATAAAAAGAAATGAAATTCAGTTATTTGTAGTGAGGTGGATGGACCTAGAGTCTGTCATACAGAGTGAAGTAAGTCAAAAAGAGAAAAACAAATACTGTATGCTAACACATATATATGGAATCTAAAAAAAAAAAAAAAAAAAGGTTCTGAAGAACCTAGGGGTAGGACAGGAATAAAGACACAGATGTAGGGAATGGACTTGAGGACATGGGGAGGGGGAAGGGTAAGCTGGGACGAAGTGAGAGAATGGCATGGACATATATACACTATCAAATGTAAAATAGATAGCTAGTGGGAAGCAGCCCCATAGCACAGGGAGATCAGCTTGGTGCTTTGTGACCACCTAGAGGAGTGGGATAGGGAGGGTGGGAGGGAGACGCAAGAGGGAGGGGATATGGGGATATATGTATACATATAGCTGATTCACTTTGTTATACAGCAGAAACTAACACAACAATGTAAAGCAATTATACTCCAATAAAGATGCTAAAAAAAAAAAAAAAAAAGAACAATGCTCAGAGTCAGCCAAAACAATTCTGATTTAGTTGGTCTGCCATGATACCTCAGGGTGTCAGTATTTTCTGAAGTCTTCCCAGATAAGTCTAATGTATGACCATTGCTGAGAGTCACTGTTTGAATCCCTCCCCAGAACATCTGACATATAGTTACCACTTTTATCTTCTAAGAATGTCACCTTCATGAAAGAACTCCCATACTCAAAAGTTATTCCCCTCAGCATCAATATTAAACTTCTGACTAGCTCCCCAAATCTAATTATTTGTCCCTGTTCTCTAAGTAAATAGTTGAGTGGTAAGGGGTATGGCTCCAAGCCCCAGACTGCCTTTGTTCAGATCCTGGCCCTGGTACTTACCGTGTAAACTTGGGAAAGTCATACAATTTCTCTGTGCCTCCGTTTTCTCATCTGTAAAATGGGAGGAATAATACTACCTATATCATAGGGTTAGTGTGAGGAGTAAATCGGTTAATATAAATAAAGTGTTCCATCAGTGTTAAATATTATCGTTACTTATCCAGCTTTACTCCCCATTACATTTCAAAACAAATTCTTATGGTAAATCATCCTCATGTTAAATGCTAGGCCTCACCTTTGTGCTTTTGCACATCCTATTTCTGCAGGCTAGAATCCTCTCCCATTCATTCATTCCAATACAAGTGCAAAGAATGTGTCCCCTTCCTCCATATCCCAGTTTAATTTCTCCCTACCACCATGAAGACTTCAATGAATACCTATAAATCACTAACCTCTCCCTTTAAAAAAACATTCCTTTGGCCACAGGGTAGTTTATTATAAGAAATGTAGCTGGGAAGTAATGACATTGGCTCTGAGTTTGAATCCTAGATCTGCCAATTGCCAGCTGAGTCATTTCCCAAATCTGTAACTCCATTGTTAGGATTACTGTGTGGATGAGGTGGCATAAGTCATATGAAGCATTAGAACAGCAAATAGCAAGCACCTAATAAATGTCAGCTCTTGTAATATATATTTGTTGTTTATATGTTAGTCTTGTCTGCACGCTGCAATTGAAGACTTCTTGGGGTAGAAAGTTTGAACTTCCTGAAGTCAGAAACCACATCTCATTATTGCTATTATAAATTCTATAGCTCACAACGTGGTAATGACCATCTATATCAGGTGATCTGTAAGTACTCAATTAAATTTTTTGCATAATTTGAGAGTATAATTCATTTTAAAAACTTGGAAAAACACTTTTGATAAATGGAAACAGATATTCAACAAAACAAGAATGACCCAAATAAAACACAGGCTGTAGAGAAGATTCTAAGAAATTGCATTACTTTTAAACATTCAATAACAAGTTTCTATCGGATTCAACTTCTGAAAGGCCACTTCCAATAAAGCCTTTTATGTGTCTAAAATCCTTTAGATTTTTCTCATTTCCTAAAAAATAAATACCAAAATTCTCACCCTGACATTCAAAATCATCCATGGCCTGACTTTGACCTATCTTCTAATCTTATCTCCCATTGTCCCCCTTTATAAACTTTATTATTCCAGATAAATAGAACTGCTTGCTCTTACTCATATGTACCCTGTGCTTTTCTGCCTCACGTAACCTTTAATATTTTGTATGACAATATTTTCAAAGAACTCAATATAAAGTTTGTCACAGGAACAAACAGTGATTGCTTGTATGGAAGTACAAACTTTAATTTTGAACTTAACTTCAACTTATGAGCATTCATTTCTCCCTTACTACTATCACAATAACAGTCTTTGACTTACAGAAAAACTTGGCCATCATTTCCCCAAATTATGTCACCCTCTAAATGCCAAAAGCCCCTGCCATCCCCACCCAAAAGCTATAAGTTTGAATTACGTTCTCCAAGCAGATCATGTAGAGCCCAAAGTGCACAAGATACCAATTGAATAAAAGAAAAAAAATTAGATCTTCTATTTTACACTTATTCTTTATCTTCTTCACTTGAATTTCTCTTGTAGTATATGCCCCATAATTTATAGCATATATTCATAGAATACATGTGTGTATATATGTGTGTGTATGTATATATATATATATATATATATATATATATATACACACATATAAAATTATAAATACATTTGGGATGTTTGCTCAAAATTTGTTTACTACTGGTACCTACAACAAGAAAAGTTTAGAAACCACTGGTCTAGAAAATTAGGGCTTTCAGAAAATCTGTGGGTTAAGAAGTAGAGGGTCCGAAGCAGCCACTTAGTGGACCTGAACACCATGTACTGTTTATGTAGGATAAATATGTTTTAATTTCTAACCAACTTTCAAGAAAATGTTGAAATGTAACTGGTTTGTAATTGGAGTTAACAAAGACCTGTTTTAGATTTATTTAAAATAAGGAGTTTTGTCCTAACATTAAAATTACTACAGTAAATATTTCATCAATATAAAAATTTCATTTGGTAAAACCTACAAGTATTTACTTCAGTATATATATAATTAATCATAATAATTCAAAAGAGCTTTTATTGGCGCCAATAATGTGATGTTTTCAAAAGACAGGGTGACAAAGGATAAAAAGAAAAAACAGGCCTAGAAGGTAAGACTGGCCATGGACCTAGACAAGCAAATACTACCCTGGGAAACTGTCACTGCTCACATTAAGTAACTAAATGAAGTAAATGTTCTCATAACAGTCACTATACTTAGCAATTGTTTTTTTAGCTTTCATAAATAAAATGACATACTTAACGCAATCCACTCTATTATGGGCTTTTGAAGAAAGTGTAATATTTCTATAACAAACTAAGTTCTAAAAGTGAGAAAAGGTTTCATATCATAATAATGCATTTCCTTTAATACCAATGCATCCTATAAATCCTTCCTCTATAGGATAAAAGACAGGTACACAAATCTTGACTTTAATCTGATTGATTCTCTACAATTTTTCTTGCTATCGTGTTAACATAAAAATCCAAATAAGCAAGCATCTCTAACACATGATTTAAATTCTGAGCTTATAGGTTGCATGCAAATCCATTTGGATTTGCATAAGATTATAGAAATATGCAGGTCAAACTTTCCACAACATCTCTCACCTATTATGACTTACGGAGTGGCTGGGGAAGTATATACGCATGGCTCAGCTTTGTCTTTCTTCTTCAAGATGGGGTTAGACTCAGATCATAGAGAAAACAGGGAAAAGAGACAAAAGGAAGGTTTTCTTTTTTTCTTTGGAAACCAGTATCATTATGCCCAATAAAACTGAAAGAACATAAAGAAACTACGAATTCATGTGTTAAGAGGGTCTAACAGTGAGATCATCACAATCCATAAGCGATTTAGCAAAGCATTTCTTCCCTACACAGGCAGTGAGAATGAAACACCAATGAATATCAGGGCAAGAGCAACAGGAAGCTTGACATTTGACACTGGCTAAATCTGAAGATAGGATAACACATAAATCCTATGCCTCTCAGGTACACAACAAACTGGCAAAGACAGACGCATTGTCTTCTTTCCCCCCTTACTTACTACACTCTGGCTTCCATTTTTCCCAAGTTCTTCCTCTGAAATCTTGCTCAAATTATCTAAGTAGTGGTCTGATATTGTGTGGCACAAATCTTCAAAAGAATAATCCTTTTCTTGACAGAGCTTTATTTCATCCAAGAGTTTTGATAATTCACCAGTCACAGTTTCACCTGTAAGAAAACAGTAAATTTTTCAAAAGTTTCAAGAAAGAATACTGCTAAAACTTGATGTTAAACAATAAAAATATAACTAGTATGGTGCTAGAACTCAAAATATGGCAAACAAGATTAAGTTGTCAGAAAATTTATTTTGCTGAAAGCAAGGTACTAAATCATAATTAGTACAATAATGTTAAAAGACAAAGAGAAATTCCAGTTTTGCCTATTTTTATTCTTTCTCAAAATGGAAATAAGTATTGAAGGTTTACATATATGTAGTACATAAAAGCATCTGGAATTACAATTCCTAAGGCTTCATTTACTACAGCATTTAATCTTCAGTAGTCTTTTATGGGCATTATACTTCACTGACAGAATTCATTCAACAATTCATTAACAAATTTGAAATGGTGCTGGGAGCCTACTTCCTAGGTTCAATAAAAAGAAACAGAACATATTTAAACAAATAATTATGTAAGTAATTAATAAATTATGATATAAAGGGACAACAGAAGGAACAGATATATAATCTGCATCAACTGTCAACATGACTATTTTGTAGGCTGCATGCAAATATTCATTTTTTTCTAATTATTCTCAGAAAGGAACTTCATCCCAATAATTCATTCTGAAAAAAACCTAGCAGTTACAATCCATATATAAATATTTTTATTCTACATTAAAAACATACCTTAGGAAAAATAAGTCAACTGTGAAATACCCACTCCATGTAAACTTCATGACAGCAGGGACTGCTGTCCCTTTGATCACCACTGTATCTCAGGACCAAGAATACTGCCTGACAAATAGCAGGAGCTCAATAAATGTTGACCGAATAAATGGATAAAATATAGAGTATAACTTATTAGACCTGACATTTTCACAAGTATGAGCCTTTTTGTACATATAGGACAAACATAACAGTTTAGTACATAGCAGACTAGTATCATTTCAAGGGTTTTACAATTAGCTACTCACTTTTGGTCTTCTGGGAAGGAGACTCAACAGGAGATGAAATATGTGTTTCTTGGGTTGTATCTTCCTGTATGTGTGCTTCAAGGACTGTTGATCTTCCCACGCCGTCTAAATATTCTGTGTATATAAGTTTTTGGAATTACATACTTGAATTCATTTATTTAAAAAACTTTAACTTTGTTTTACATTTTTTTTTTTTTTTTTTTTTGCGGTACGCAGGCCTCTCACTGTTGTGGTCTCTCCTGTTGTGGAGCACAGGCTCTGGACGCGCAGGCTCAGCGGCCATGGCTCATGGGCCCAGCTACTCTGCGGTATGTGGGATCTTCCCGGACCGGGGCACAAACCCGTGTCCCCTGCATCGGCAGACGGACTCTCAACCACTGCGCCACCAGGGAAGCCCTACTTTGTTTTACTTTTGATGGTCATTTTTTCATTTATTTCTTTATATCCTAAGTTTTTAAAGAACTTCAAAAAATCAAACAAACTGAAAGAACTTCATGATGAGCTATTAATTTAAAGCTTTTTAATTAAAACAGAAAAGATATTTTAGAAGAGACTCATGAATACTTTTTCTGAAACTAAATTTTTGTCACAACCTTTCCTTAACATCCTCAGTTTCCGTAAATATATCCTACCTGAAGGTTGAAAACTCTCTGAATGATGCTTTGAATAGACTTCATCCCTAAACAGGGATATCAAATTCAGATGGATATAATGATCAGTCAGGTAACATACATGCATGAAGTGGGATAAGTTTAATTTATGATGGTGTTGTAATCTTGTAAGATAAGCACAATTGCGTATTGAACTTTAGTTCAACAAAGAAATAATGTTCTTCCCCATTCTTTTTTTATTGACATTTATTTTATTTTTTTAATTTTATTTCATTTCATTTTATTTGGCTGTGCCGCGTGGCATTCAGGCTCCTAGTTCTGTGACCAGGGATCAAACCCAGGCCCTGGCAGTGAGAGTGCAGAGTCCCAACAACTGGACAGCCAGGGAATTCCCTATTATTGACATTTTACCTTTTTTTTTTTTTTTTTTTTGTCCCACACTCAGCCTGTCTCTCATTTTTCCAATTCTGATGAGGATATAATAATAATAAAACTTAAATATTGCTTACTATGCACCCAGCAGTGTTCTAAGTATTTAATATAAATTAACTCATTTAATCTTCACAAAACTATGACACAGGCACTAGTACTATCTCAGTTTTAAAGGTGACAACTAAAGGGGGAGGATTATTAACTTGGCCACGTTCATTCAGCTAATAAGTGGCAAAGCCAGATAGTTACAAGAAGCATCTCACTTTTCTCTTAATCATAAGAAAATAGCATCTGAATGCAGGGATAAATGTCGATTAACATTCAACCTCAATGTAACAAAAAAAAATGGAAAGCCTGCAGAGCCTGGTTAACCAGAGAGCAGATGCCCCATCTAAAGTTCGGCAATGAAGTAAAACGAAAGCCTGCATTTTTTTGAGAAACCCAAACTGGGGATTTAGCTGAAATCCTAGATTTTTAAATGCTGAAAGCTAATTCAATTTTTACAGAAACACAGTGTGAGCCAAAAGTATGTGATCTAAACAAAACATATCTGCTACCCGCCAAAAGGCATTCAGCCCACAATGGATGGTTTGTTTACAGCCTCTGGCTAAGGGGTTAAATCAATACTCGCACTTCTTTATTCCAAAGGAACCCCTTCTTCTTGAAATTCACTTAAGAAACTTTGTGCTATCATGCCAACCACTTTTGTTTTCATACTATCCAAATAGTTTCTATCTAAGAGCAATTCTACTAGGCAAATTCTAATAGGAAAAGAAAGCAACTTATGGGGTTCTATACTGAAAATTTCTGACTCAGGCAGTAATTTTATCTACTATAAATTGTCTTTACTACAATAACAAACTTTTTCATAAGACTTAAAATGTACCAGTGATTTGGGACTTCCTTGGCGGTGCAGTGGTTAAGAATCTGGCAGCCAATGCAGGGGACACGGGTTTGAGCCCTGGTCCAGGAAGATCTCACATGCTGCGGAGCAACTAAGCCCATGTGCCACAACTACTGAGCCTGCACTCTAGAGCCCACGAGCCACAACTACTGAGCCCACGAGCCGCAACTACTGAAGCCCGAGCACCTAGAGCCCATGCTCCGCAACAAGAGAAGCCACCGCAATGAGAAGCCCACCACACAGCAACGAAGAGTAGCCCCCGCTCCCTGCAACTAGAGAAACCCTGCACACAGCAACGAAAACCCAATGCAGCCATAAATTAATTAGTTAATTAATTTAAAATAAATAATAAACTGTACCAGTGATTTGAAAAGCAGGAATGCAGAGAATATAATGTGTTCACATTCTAAAATTTGACAATAATTTTAAAAATTCAAAGATGTCACAAATACTCCATCACAAATTGGCATACCTAATGAATCTTGACCATTTAAAAGAACAGACATTTACTCCTATATAATAACATTTTCATCTAAGTTGAACCAGTGCAATATGTTAGAAATGTCTGTAATTATGTCATGCCCCCTTTTTAGTGGATGACATTTATTTTGCTTCTCCTGAGAGACATATTATGCACAAGTCTCAGTTTTTTTAAAGTTCAGTTAGAGGCAAAAATCCAATATGAAATACAAACTGCCTAGAAGGGAAAGACTTCTTTAAATACTGTATATATCACTCTTTTATTTTTCACTTTTCATTCAACTTGACTTTAATTTGAATTAATATGACGAGCCATACTTGTATCCGCCTCTGATTTATCTCTATATGTGCTTGACTTGCAATTAACTTCTTTATTGACAAGAAAATTGTAGGGGTTTGAACTTCCCTGAGAGGTTTCAGAAGTAAAGAAAGAAAAGAACATAATGACCTCCTGTAGTGCATCTATTCTTTTCCCCTCTTTGGGCTTTGTTGACTCCTGTATCTATTATGCATGTCTCCTGCTCAACATGGTTTTAATTCACCTATCTCCTTGCAGGACAAAGCTGCTCTTCAGCTTCTCAAATGATATCCATTGGCACCCATCCCACCTCCCTCTATTACATTCACAACCAATCTGTAACAACTGTAGGGGATAATCCCCACTGAACAGTGCAGGAGCTAAGTGGAAAGGAAAGAACAAACAACTGGATTTTTAAGGGAACATGTTACATATCAGGCCTAATCACCAAGCAGAAACGGAAAGCACTTAAATTTAAATTTTTCATAAAATTTTTAGATCAAATGGGGAAGTATGTAATCCTGCAAATGAAAAAGTAGCACCTCGGTGGTTGTCAAACCTTCAATAGGCCTAGTAATTGCAACTAACTACAAATGTACTTAAAATGACCTTTATCAAAACCAAAGGCTGGCAAGACTGAATTATCTTGTACTACTGGATTTGGTAGGAAATAATCTGTATTCTTTCAACTAAGTACAATTTTGTTGTTGTTAACCCAGCATTTACACACCAGTTCTACCACTTAGAATAGGACATATAAGTCCGAGCAAGTCACTTAGCCTCTTGGAGCTTCAGTTTCCCTCATGTGCAAAAAGAAGAATAACGATATCTGACTTATCTACCTCACAGTTATAGAAAACAGACAAAATAACAGAAAATCCCTGAAAACTCTTAAAGCACTATTCAAGTGTAAGATAATACCTCAGCATCATCACTTTACAGTCCTAATACCTTCAAGTTCATAACTACATATTTATTACATGTGTTTAATTAAAAACGCTTTTTAATATCACATAAGTAAAAAAAAGTTTAGCTTTTAAAAAATTACTGAGCAGTTGAAAAACCGAAATAAAACATTAAAAGGTAGTAATTATTATTGAGCTTAAAAGTATACCAGAGAAAAAAGCAAATAATAAGTTCATTCAAAAGTAAATGTTAAAACCCAAGAGAAAACTAGGACAGTTTTAATTTAATCTTAACTGTAACGCAAACTCATCCATCATTCAATACTCTTTACCTTGTAAGAGACTTGCAATCTGGAGAGATTTCTGAGATGGATGTTCTTTCAGAATGTCTAAGACAGTTCTACCTAAGCTATCTTTTATGTTGGCATCAATTCCTGAAAGAAAAAGAAAAACCCACTAGATGTACACAAGTGGGGTATCATTAGAAGATACAGTCAATACATAACTGCTCTAATTTCAAAAGTATACAGACCAAGTACTTAAGGTGATTTTTTTAAATTAAGACACACACACACACACACACACACACACACACACACACGATTTTAGTAAGAAAGAAGGTGGGAGACCACTGATGCCAAAGATTAGGAACATTCTTGATAATGAATTAACTCTTAAAGGGCACTGATCCATTCATTAATATTGTTTTTTCAGATTATAGCTAATTGAGGTTATAGCTAGTTAACTAATGGTAGCCTATCAAGCTGAAAAATATTACTGATTTAGAATTTAAATTCCTAAAGTATAATGGTCATTTTATATATTCTGTATAATATGGTAAAAATAAAAATAATGTACCATGTAAGTAGTATAAGAACAGTCTTAGAATACTTTAGTATTCACAAAAGTTGAAAAAGCAGGATTATTTTGAATTATTGTCCAAATACAAATTCAAATATTTAATATTTATTTATGCAAGATTATATTCAATGTCAGCAACACTCATCAAATACCTGGTGAGCAAACTTCTTAAAGTTTGTAACTGAAATACCTTTGGAATTATTTTAATTCTCAAATGTTTATTGTAAAGAGATTTTATTGTAAAGAGTATAATGTAGCAAACAGCAAAAAGTTTATAAACTTCCCAAATATCTAAGCACAAACAAAGCCAGGTTTCAGGATCTAGCCTCAACAGTTAGTTCATTATAATAAAATTATTAGTATTTGCTTAAATTTTTATGGAAATGTGTTACCTGCACAAATTTAATTGGTTGCCTCATTTATTATATCATTGTGTTACATATCAAAGTTACATATACATGAAATTTTAACTTCACGTAAGAACAATCACAATGCAATAGTCTGCCAATACTTTTCATTTAACATTTTTACTGAGGAAAATAAACACACTAAATATAGTTTAAAACACAAAAGACTCACGTCAGTTGTTTACAAGCATAAATTTGTATCCATGCCTTATTATTTGAATATTATTTTATTTATTTTTGTATACAGCAGGCTCATATTAGTTATCTATTTTATACATATTAATGTATATATGTCAATCCCAATCTCCCAATTCATCACACCACCACCACATCCGCTCCCCACCGCTTCCCCTCCTTGGTGTCCATACGTTTGTTCTCTGTATCTGTGTCTCTATTTCTACCGTGCAAACTGGTTTATCTGTACCATTTTTCTAAGTTCCACATATATGTGTTAATATACGATATTTGTTTTTCTCTTTCTGACATACTTCACTCTGTATGGCAGTCTTTAGATTCATCCACGTCTCTACAAATGACCCAATTTCATTCCTTTTTATGGCTGAGTAATATTCCATTGTATATATATGTACCACATGTTTATCCATTTGTCTGTCAATGGGCATTTAGGTTGCTTCCATGACCTGGCTATTGTAAATAGTGCAACAATGAACATTGGGGTTCATGTGTCTATTTTTTTTTTTTACATCTTTATTGGAGTATAATTGCTTTACAATGGTGTGTTAGTTTCTGCTTTATAACAAAGAGAATCAGTTATACGTATACATATGTTCCCATATCTCTTCCCTCTGGCGTCTCCTTCCCGCCTACCCTCCCTATCCCACCCCTCTAGGTGGTCACAAAGCACCAAGCTGATCTCCCTGTGCTATGCGGCTGCTTCCCACTAGCTCTCTATTTTACGTTTGGTAGTGTATATATGTCCATGCCACTCTCTCACTCTGTCACAGCTTACCCTTCCCCCTCCCCATATCCTCAAGTCCATTCTCTAGTGGGTCTGTGTCTTTATTCCTGTCTTACCCTCAGGTTCATCATGACATTTTTTTTTTCTCATTTCATATATATGTGTTAGCATACGGTATTTGTCTTTCTCTTTCTGACTTACTTCACTCTGTATGACAGACTCTAGGTCCATCCACCTCACTACAAATAATTCAATTTATTTTCTTTTTATGGCTGAGTAATATTCCATTCTATATATGTGCCACATCTTCTTTATCCAGTCATCTGATGATGGACACATAGGTTGTTTCCATCTCCTGGCTATTGTAAATAGAGCTGCAATGAACATTTTGGTACATGACTCTTTTTGAAATGGTTTTCTCAGGGTATATGCCCAGTAGTGGGATTGCTTGGTCATATGGTAGTTCTATTTGTAGTTTTTTAAGGAACCTCCATACTGTTCTCCATTGGCTGTACCAACTCACATTCCCACCAGCAGTGCAACAGTGTTCCCTTTTCTCCACACTCTCTCCAGCATTTATTGTTTCTAGATTTTTTGATGATGGCCATTATGACCGGTGTGAGATGATATCTCATTGTAGTTTTGATTCGCACTTCTCTAACGATTAATGATGTTGAGCATTCTTTCATGTGTTTGTTGGCAGTCTGTGTATCTTCTTTGGAGAAATCTCTATTTAGGTCTTCTGCCCATTTTTGAATTGGGTTGTTTGTTTTTTTGTTATTGAGCTGCAAGAGCTGATTGTAAATTTTGGAGATTAATCCTTTGTCAGTTGCTTCATTTGCAAATATTTTCTCTCATTCTGAGGGTTGTCTTTTGGTCTTGTTTATGGTTTCCTTTGCTGTGCAAAAGCTTTGAAGTTTCATTAGGCCTCATTTGTTTATTTTTGTTTTTATTTCCATTTCCCTAGGAGGTGGGTCAAAAAGAACCTTGCTGTGATTTATGTCATAGTGTTCTGCCTATATTTTCCTCTAAGAGTTTGATAGTTTCTGGCCTTACATTTAGGTCTTTAATCCATTTTGAGCTTATTTTTGTATATGGTGCTAGGGAGTGTTCTAATCTCATACTTTTACATTTACCTGTCCAGTTTTCCCAGCACCACTTACTGAAGAGGCTGTCCTTTCTACAATGTACATTCCTGCCTCCTTTATCAAAGATAAGGTGACCATATGTGCGTGGGTTTATTTCTGGGCTTTCTATCCTGTTCCATGGATCTATATTTCTGTTTTTGTGTCAGTACCGTACTGTCTTGATTACTGTAGCTTTGTAGTATAGTCTGAAGTCAGGGAGCCTGATTCCTCCAGCTTCGTTTTTTGTTCTCAAGATTGCTTTGGCTATTCGGGGTCTTTTGTGTTTCCATACAAATTGTGAAATTTTTTGTTCTAGTTCTGTGAAAAATACCAGTGGTAGTTTCATAGGGATTGCATTGAATCTGTAGATTGCTTTGGGTAGTAGAGTCATTTTCACAATGTTGATTCTTCCAACCCAAGAACATGGTATATCTCTCCATCTATTTGTATCGTCTTTCTTTCATCAGTGTCTCATAATTTTCTGCATACAGGTCTTTTGTATCCTTAGGTAGTTTTATAACTAGACGTTTTATTCTTTTTGTTGCAGTGGTAAATGGGAGTGTTTTCTTGATTTCACTTTCAGATTTTTCATCATTAGTGTATAGGAATGCCAGAGATTTCTGTGCATTAATTTTGTATCCTGTTACTTTACCAAATTCATTGATGAGCTCTAGTAGTTTTCTGGTAGCATCTTTAGGATTCTCTGTGTATAGTATCATGTCATCTGCAAACAGTGACAGCTTTACTTCTTCTTTTCCGATTTGGATTCCTTTTATTTCCTTTTCTTCTCAGATTGCTGTGGCTAAAACTTCCAAAACTATGTTGAGTAAGATGGTGAAAGTGGGCAACCTTGTCTGGTTCCTGTTCTTAGTGGAAATTCTTTCAGTTTTGAAACATTGGGGATGATGTTGGCTGTGGGTTTGTCATATATGGCCCTTATTATGTTGAGGAAAGTTCCCTGTATGCCTACTTTCTCCAGGGTTTTTATCATAAATGGGTGTTGAATTTTTGTCAAAAGCTTCCTCTGCATCGATTGAGATGATCATATGGTTTTTCTCCTTCAATTTGTTAATATGCTGTATCACATTGATTGATTTGTGTATATTGAAGAATCCTTGCATTCCTGGAATAAACTCACTTGATCATAGTGTATGATCCTTTTAATGTGCTGTTGGATTCTGTTTGCTAGTATTTTCTTGAGGTTTTTGCATCTATGTTCATCAGTGATATTGGCCACTAGTTTTCATTCTTTCTGACATCCTTGTCTGGTTTTGGTATCAGGGTGATGGTGGCCTCGTAGAATGAGTTTGGGAGTGTTCCTCCCTCTGCTATATTTTGGAAGAGTTTGAGAAGGATAGGTGTTAGCTCTTCTCTAAATGTTTGATAGAATTCGGCTGAAAAGCTATCTGGTCCTGGGCTTTTGTTTTTTGGAAGATTTTTAATCACAGTTTCAATTTCAGTGCTTGTGATTGGTCTGTTCATATTTTCTATTTCTTCCTGATTCAGTCTTGGCAGGTTGCGCATTTCTAAGAATTTGTCCATTTCTTCCAGGTTGTCCATTTTATTGGCATAGAGTTGCTTGTAGTAATCTCTCAAGATCTGTTGTATTTCTGCAGTGTCAGTTGTTACTTCTCCTTTTTCACTTCTAATTCTATTGATTTGAGTCTTCTCCCTTTTTTTCTTCATGAGTCTGGCTAATGGTTTATCAATTTTGTTTATCTTCTCAAAGAACCACCTATTAATTTTATTGATCTTTGCTATCATTTCCTTCATTTCTTTTTCATTTATTTCTGGTCTAATCTTATGGTTTCCTCCTTCTGCTAACTTTGGGGGTTTTTTGTTCTTCTTTCTCTAATTGCTTTAGGTGCAAGGTTAGGTTGTTTATTCGAGATGTTCCCTGTATCTTAAGGTAGGATTGTATTGCTATAAACTTCCCTCTTAGAACTGCTTTTGCTGCATCCCATAGGTTTTGGGTCGTCGTGTCTCCATTGTCATTTGTTTCTAGGTACTTTTTGATTTCCTCTTTGATTTCTTCAGTGCACTTCGTTATTAAGTAGTGTATTGTTTAGCCTCCATGTGTTTCTATTTTTTACAGGTCTTTTCCTGTAATTGATATCTAGTCTCATAGTGTTGTGGTCGGAAAAGATACTTGATACAATTTCAATTTTCTTAAATTTACCAAGGCTTGATTTGTGACCCACGATATGATCTATCCTGGAGTATGTTCCATGAGCACTTGAGAAAAATGTGTATTCTGTTGTTTTTCGATGGAATGTCCTATAAATATCAATTAAATCCATCTTGTTTAATGTATCATTTAAAGCTTGTTTTTCCTTATTTATTTTCATTTTGAATGATCTGTCCATTGGTGAAAGTGGGGTGTTAAAGTCCCCTACTATGAATGTGTTACTGTCGATTTCCCCTATTTTGGCTGTTAGTATTTGCCTTATGTATTGAGGTGGTCCTATGCTGGGTGCATAAATATTTACAATTGTTATATCTTCTTGGATCAATCTCTTGATCATTATATAGTGTCCTTCTTAGTCTCTTCTAATAGTCTTGATTTTAAAGTCTATTTTGTGTGATATGAGAATTGCTACTCCAGCTTTATTTTGGTTTCCATTTGCACGGAATATCTTTTTCCATCCCCTCACTTTCAGTCTGTATGTGTCTCTATGTCTGAAGTGGGTCTCTTGTAGACAGCATATATATGGGTCTTGGTTTTGTATCCATTCAGCCAGTCTGTGTCTTTTGGTGGGCGCATTTAATCCATTTACACTTAAGGTAATTATCGATATGTATGTTCCTATTCCCATTTTCTTAATTGTTTTCGGTTTGTTATTGTAAGTCTTTTCCTTCTCTTGTGTTTCTTGCCTAGAGAAGATCCTTTAGCATTTGTTGTAAAGCTGGTTTGGTGGTGCTGAACTCTCTCAGCTTTTACTTGTCTGTAAAGGTTTTAATTTCTCCATCAAATCTGAATGAGATCCTTGCTGGGTAGAGTAATCTTGGTTGTAGGTTTTTCTCCTTCATCACTTTAAATATGTCCTGCCAGTCCCTTTTGGCTTGCAGAGTTTCTGCTGAAAGATCAGCTGTTATCCTTATGGGGATTCCCTTGTGTGTTATTTGTTGTTTTTCCCTTGCTGCTTTTAACATGTTTTCTTTGTATTTAATTTTTGACAGTTTGATTAATATGTGTCTTGGCGTGTTTCTCCTTGGATTTATCCTGTATGGGACTCTCTGGGCTTCCTGGGCTTGATTAACTATTTCCTTTCCCATATTAGGGAAGTTTTCAACTATAATCTCTTCAAATATTTTCTCAGTCCCTTTCTTTTTCTAGTCTTCTTCTGGAACCCCTATAATTCGAATGTTGGCGTGTTTAATATTGTCCCAGAGCTCTCTGAGACTGTCCTTGGTTCTTTTCATTCTTTTTTCTTTATTCTGCTCTGCAGTAGTTATTTCCAGTATTTTATCTTCCAGGTCACTTATTCGTTCTTCTGCCTCAGTTATTCTGCTATTGATCCCTTCTAGAGTATTTTTAATTTCATTTATTGTGTTGGTCATCGTTGCTTGTTTCATCTTTAGTTCTTCTAGGTCCTTGTTAAATGTTTCCTGCATTTTCTCTATTCTATTTCCAAGATTTTGGATCATCTTTACTATCATTATTCTGAATTCTTTTTCAGGTAGACTGCCTATTTCCTCTTCATTTGTTAGGCCTGGTAGGTTTTTATCTTGCTCCTTCATCTTCTGTGTTTTTTTCTATCTTCTCATTTTGCTTATCCTACTCTGCTTGGGGTCTCCTTTTTGCAGGCTGCAGGTTCGTAGTTCCCGTTGTTTTTGGTGTCTGTCCCCAGTGGCTAAAGTTGTTTCAGTGGGTTGTGTAGGCTTCCTGGTGGAGGGGACTAGTGCCTGTGTTCTAGTGGGTGAGGCTGGATCTTGTCTTTCTGGTGGGCAGGTCCACCTCTGGTGGTGTGTTTTGGGGTGTCTGTGGACTTACGATTTTAGGCAGCCTCTCTCTAATGGGTGGGGTTGTGTTCCTGTCTTGCTAGTTTTTTGGCTAAGGGTGTCCAGCACTGTAGCTTGCTGGTTGTCGAGTGAAGCTGGGTGTTGGTGTCGAGATGGAGATCTCTGGGGATTTTCGCCATTTGATATTACGTGGAGCTGGAAGGTCTCTTGTGGACCAGTGTCCTGAAGTTGGCTCTCCCACCTCAGAGGCACAGCACTGACTCCTGGCTGCAGCACCAAGAGCCTTTCATCCACACGGTCAGAATAAAAGGGAGAAAAAGTAGAAAGAAAGAAAGAGGATAAAAGAAAAGAAAATAAAGTAAGATAAAATAAAATAAAGTTATTAAAATATAAAATGATTATTCAGAAAAAAAAATTTTTTTAAGTAAAAAAAAAAACAAGAAACAGATGGATAGAACCCTAGGACAAATGGTGTCAGCAAAGCTATACAGACAAAATCTCACATAGTAGCATACACATACACTCTCACAAAAAGAGGAAAAGGGGAAAAAATAATAAATCTTGCGCTCGAAGTCCACCTCCTCAATTTGGGATGATTCATTGTCTATTCAGGTATTCCACAGATGCAGGGTACATCAACTTGATTGTGGAGATTTAATCTGCTGCTCCTGAGGCTGCTGGGAGAGATTTCCTTTTCTCTTCTTTGTTTGCACAGCTCCTGGGGCTCAGCTTTGGATTTGGCCCTGCCTCTGCGTGTAGGTCACCGGAGGGCGTCTGTTCTTTGCTCAGACAGGACGGGGTTAAAGGAGCCGCTGATTCGGGGGCTCTGGCGCACTCAGGCCGGAGGGAGGGAGGGGTACGAAGTGCGGGGCAAGCCTGTGGCAGCAGAGGCCAGCGTGACGTTGCACCAGCCTGAGGCGCACCGTGCGTTCTCCTGGGGAAGTTGTCCCTGGATCCCGGGAACCTGGCAGTGGCAGGCTGCACAGGCTCCCGGGAGGGGTGGTGTGGATAGTGACCTGTGCTCGCACACAGGCTTCTTGGTGGTGGCAGCAGCAGCCTTAGCATCTCATGCCCGTCTCTGGGGTCCGTGCTGTTAGCCGCGGCTCGCGCCCATCTCTGAAGCTCCTTTAAGCAGCGCTCTTAATCCCCTCTCCTCACGCACCAGGAAGCAAAGAGGGAAGAAAAATCTCTTGCCTCTTCGGCAGGTCCAGACTTTTCCCCGGACTCCCTCCTGGCTAGCCGTGGTGCACTAACCCCCTGCAGGCTGTGTTCAGGCTGCCAACCCCAGTCCTCTCCCTGCGCTCTGACCGAAGCCCGAGCTTCAGCTGCCAGCCCAGCCCGCCCTGGCGGTTGAGCAGACAAGCCTCTCAGGCTGGTGAGTGCCAGTCAGCACCGATCTTCTGTGCGGGAATCTCTCCGCTTTGCCCTCCGCACCCCTGTTGCTGCGCTCTCCTCCATGGCTCCGAAGCTTCCGCCCTCTGCCACCCGCAGTCTCCTCCCGCGAGTGGCTTCCTAGTGTGTGGAAACCTTTCCTCCTTCACAGCTCCCTCCCACTGGTGCAGGTCCCATCCCTATCCTTTTCTCTCTGTTTATTCTTTTTTCTTTTGCCCTACCCAGTTACGTGGGGAGTTTCTTGCCTTTTGGGAGGTCTGAGGTCTTCTGCCAGCGTTCAGTAGGTGTTCTGTAGGAGTTGTTCCACGTGTAGATGTATTTCTTATGTATCTGTTGGGAGGAAGGTGATCTCCGCGTCTTACTCTTCTGCCATCTTCCCCCTCTCTCGCATGTGTCTTTTTGAATTATGGTTTTCTCTGGGTATATGCCCAGGTGTGGGATTGCTGGGTCACATGGTAATTGTATTTTTAGTTTTTTAAGGAACCTCCATGCTGTTCTCCATAGTGGCTGTATCAATTTACATTCCCCCCAACAGTGCAAAAGGGTTCCCTTTTTTCCACACCCTCTCCATTATCCATGCCTTTTGATCTTAAAAAAATCTGACGTCAGTTCCAATTTTATTTCAGTCATAATATACATATGGAGACAAATAAGCCTACTTTGTTTTTCCTTCAAAGCTTTCCCTCTAAAAGGTTCCCTTTAAATCACTGCAGCTTACAAACAGTAGCTACTCAGTTGATGAAGTAACTAGAAGGAGAATTTACCTGAAGGACAGGGAACTCTAATTTCTGTTTACCATTATTCACAATATAAAAACCTAGGGAAAGTAGTACGTTCTTTAATAAACCAAGCAATTGTCTTAACTTCACGGGGATCAGTTCCACCCTCCTATAGAAGGCAGACATTTCCTTTTCTTTTTGGTAGTTTTTATTTTAATGTGATTTAAGTGTATAAAATTATAATTTCTAAAAGCTTTTTATTAAAGTATCTACTGAGTAAAGGAAGGTACACATTGTTATCAGTTTTTTTCCCTAAACATTGAGGCTCAATTCTACATGGTATGAATACGTACCTGCAATTTAGAGTGAAGGTAAGAAATAAGGGTGATTGTCAAGAAAAAAAAAAAAGTGTCATTTTCCTATGTCTACTCCTGAAATACAAATAGTTTTTGGCAAGATAAGCCTCATGGAGAATCAAGATAAGTTCCATGGAGAATCATGATAGTTACCTGTTTCTAACAGAACTCGCACAACATCTACCTTTCCAAACAAAGCTGCTTCGTGAAGTGCACTCCCTTTTTCTGTCTGGAAAAAAAAAAAAGAAGAAGGAAAAAGAAGCACAGTTGCATTAGGAATGCTTAGGTTAAAAAATTCTGTCATTTTATGTATTCATACATATTCTCTGTAATCTTAGCACTCTGACAGAAAGGTAGTGTGAAATAAAGAAGAGATTCTAGAAACAAAACCCAAAAGCTTGAATTTGTGAAACACCTCTGCTTCTGTGTAGCCATTTGACCTTGTTATGTTGGTAATCTTCCTCATCATAGCATTTATAGTACTACATTATAATGTTATGTGATTGTCTATTCCCTTTAATAAACTGTAAGTTTAGTGGAAATGTAGATATCTATTTTTTTCATCATGGTATCACCAATGCCTAGAAAAAAGTACCTCAAAAATGTAGACATTTAAGAATTATTTTGAGGGTAAAAGGTAGAAGAAGGTAGGCACATAACATAGAAGACAAGAATATGTAAGTATTGCAGGGAGAGATTGGTTTCTGCCTTGAGGAAGATAAAGGAAGATTTCAAAGAGGAAGCTTTTTAGCTATACATTAAAAAAAACTTTTTTCCTCTCAAGAATTTTAAAATGTCTACCAGGTCCTTAGTATGTGCACATGTCTCTGCGTGTTAAACTGAACACTGTCATTATGGCAACTTTGTTCTCTTGTACTAAAAGTAATCTCTAGTATGGGATTTTCATCTCAATACAAAAAAGAAATATCACTATAAAATAATATATAACGTAAAAATGTTTTTAATTAATAAAATATTATTGTATAATTAACCCAGTATAAAATGGTTTATAAATGCATTGTTAAGGAGGCTTGAGGACCACTGAAGATCTATCAATGTGATCTGAATTTATTGCCAAAAAGGTATAACTGAAATGCACTTGATTTATAATTTTCTGGGTATGATATGTATAGACACTAATAAACATGGAAATAAAATAATTTATAAATATATATAGCACTATACAGAAGGAAAATTAAACTGTAGAAACTTATGCAGCTCCTTAAAACAATGTTTCAATGTGTGGCATAAAAAGTTAATTTTTTTCACTCCCTAAAAAATATCCCTTGAAATAATCTAATTCTTCTCACTCTCATTCTATGTCTTTCAACCAACTTTCTTACTACTAATTTGATTTCCTTCAAATTTTCACAAAAGTTTGGACTTAATGTTAGAAAAACCCTTCCTGGAATAGCACACCTTAAAATTCTGAAAAACTAAACAATATTTTAAATATAGAGATGAAAAGGAAAATGGAATTCCTCAGAGCCTGGGGAAGGGAATGAGGGACAGAAAGTATGAATCCAGGCATTGAGCACTGGAAGAAGAATTTGTTCAAGGAAATCTACCAATCCCTGATAGATTAGTATCTGGGCTTTAACCAAGGTGGGACTGGGAGGGGAGCAGGAGACAAAGTCTGAAGCTCACGCAAGCTGAGAGGATAGATCAAGGACTCCTACAAAAATTAAAACCCCCAAAGAACAACAGCCTCAGTAAAAACAATAAAGTAAAAATTAAAAACTTGTTACAAAAATCTGTTGCAGAGAGGGAAAGTAAGATTTTAGCTCTAAACAGATTAGAATGACAGAAATAAATCCCACTGCTCTAAGAATTCCTAACCACAATTCTGTCCTCACAAGGGTTTGAGGCCAAATTTAACACAATCTCTGTGCCCCTCAGAGCCAAAAATGTAGAATAAAGTGATTTGGGTTCATAGTACCAGAGGCAGACATAAATGCTTAGCAGAAGCAGATATAAATCCTCTCTGAAAAGATACACTTTAAACTCAGGCCTCCAAGAGTTCCAAGAGTTAAAGCTTTAAAAAACACAAATTCAAATTTAGAAACCACTGAACATGAAAGGAAATAAGTCACTATGAGTAAGAAATAGTAGAAACAAAAAAGAAGATAATGGACTTCTCTGGTGATGCAGTGGTTAAGAATCCGCCTGTACAGTACAGTCCAACTATACTTTTGTTTGTACTGTCCAACAGTACAGTCCAACTATACTTTTGGACTGTAAAAATTAGTCAATCTTTCCAAACCCATGGTTGATGTAATTAGCTTCTTTGATAAGAGAATGTGAGAACTGTCAAAATGGAATGGATTATTCTCATAAACTTAAGGGAAACAGTGGAACTAGGAACTATTTACTGCTATCTCAGTATTATCACAAATAGTATAAAATTTAAATAGGTCAAATTTATAGACTTTTCCTTTTCAAAATATAGGTTAATTCCATAATATTTTGTAATTTATCATCCCCTACCTTGAGTCAGCATCTACTCTTCTCATTCAAATTACTTACTACCATTCTGTTCACCTCAGCACTCTCCCCCAAATCCACAATCCATAATTGGCCAAACCTTGAAAAACCGTGTTCTCATGAAACAATATTTAGTCTAAAACATTCTAAAAGCAAGTGGAATGTATACAAAGAAATAACACTAGGACTTCCCTGGTGGAACAGTGGTTAAGAACCTGCCTGCCAATCAATGCAGGGGACATGGGTTCGATCCCTGGTCTGGGAAGATCCCACATGCCACGGAGCAACTAAATCTGTGTGCCGCAACTACTGAACCTGCGCTCTAGAGCCCGCGAGCCACAACTTCTGAGCCCACATGCCACAACTACTGAAGCCCACATGCCCTAGAGCCCACGCACCACAACTACTGAGCCTGCGTGCTGCAACTGCTGAAGCCCACGCCCCTAGAGCCCATGCTCCGCAACAAGAGAAGCCACCGCAAAGAAAAGTCTGCACACCACAAGGAAGAGTAGCCCCCCTCACCGCAACTAGAGAAAGCCTGCACGCAGCAACAAAGACCCAACGCAGCCAAAATAAATAAAGAAAGAAAAAAGAAGGCAGTCTTGGGAGAGAGCTGACACTGGCTGTGGATGCAGGAGCAAATGGGCCCACAGCCCTCAGTGCCCCTAAAAAAAAAAAAAGAAATAACACTAAAATAGGTGAACCCAAATTTGGGGCCTGCTTTTCCAATGGATCAAATTTCTCCATTTCTTTAAAATTAATCATTTAAAATAAACATAGTTTCTGAATAGACAATTATGCAGTTGATAATATAGTAACACTTCAATATTTATACAGTAAACAGATATGAAGCACTCACAACGTCTTAGCACCTTTCAGGGAAAAAAAGCCTCCAATCACAATTAGTGATGAAAACAGCTTAGTGAGAAGACATGACCTGATATATATCTTAATGCTGAATTGCTGATAAAAGCAAAAGAAATTCTCTCTCCAATTGGAAATGGCTATTAAAGTTAAGTCTCAGTAGCACCAAAACTGAGAAAAACAAATGGTAGGAAAAGGGGAGAGGATATAGAAAAGAATGTTCCTATTTTTAAGCCCTGGGTTTTAGCTTCCTTTTTGGTTTGGCTGTATGTATTTCCCTGATACATGAAAGCTCAATTACGCATTTAAAGAGATCCTTGTTATATTTTATCCAAAACCTCTAGATGTTTCAAAATGGCTTTTTGGGTTGTATTCTAAGAGTGCCAAAACAGCAGACAGAAAGGGGATGTGAAGATGTCAGTTTGCCTGCACTGGTTCCCCCTTCCAAATTTAACACTCTAACCATAGCCCTTCTGAAGCTTGCAAAAGAGAATGACCAGATAAAGGAAGACCAAATTTTTTATTAAAGGAGAAAATAAATAGAACAAAGATATAAAGTGGGATTGTGATGATGATCAGTAGAGAAAATAGCACAAGTAGCAGGGAAAATAAAAACTATTGAGAAACAAGACCCACTACCAAAAGAAGTAACAACCAGTTAGTAAAGATAAACTTGATACAGAAAAAAGAAGAAAAGCCAATGAGAATGGCATTTAACACAGAAGTAACAACCCCTGATGCCCTGGTTGGTACCAATTAGCCCTGTAGGCATCTCTTGGGATGAAAGGTAAGAACTTAAAAGATAAGAACATCCTAGCCTTTGTAAATGAATAAATGTCTAAACAACTTGAGAAGCAACAGATCCTTTGTACCCTACATTAGCTAGACTATATCCAGAGTACTGTGTTCAAGCGTGGATACTAAACTTTCACAGGAACATCAACAGATTGGAATATGTCCAGAGAAGAGCATCCCAAAACAAGAATCTAGAAAAACATCATGTGAAGAATAGCTGAAAGTTATAAGTAGGTTTAGACTGGGGGTGGAAATGGCATAAGAGAAACAGGATGTGTCTTCAAAAAACTCAGAAATACCATTTCTCCTATTCTAAAGAAGATCTCTTCCTCTCCTCCTATTTAACTAGGGACTTCTGGCCAATATCTTTACCTTTCCTATCTTCCTTCACTTCTGTCTCAGAGGAAGCATCCATTCCCCTCATTAAAGCTAATCCTCGTGCTCGCTTCGGCAGCACATATACTAAAATTGGAACGATACAGAGATTAGCATGGCCCCTGTGCAAGGATGACCCACAAATTCATGAAGTGTTCCATATTTTTATTGCATAGCATAGGGAACTCTACTTAATGTACTGTGGTAACCTAAATGGGAGGGAAGTCCAAAAGGGAGGGGATATCTGTATGTGTATGGCTGATTCATTTTGTTGTGCAGTGGAGGCTAACACAACATTGTAAAGCAACCATACTCCAATAAAATTTTTTTTAAAAAAGCTAATCCTCCACTTGTGCTTTTTTTTCTATCATTTCTGCTTCTTGAATTTTGCTCATGAAGTATCTTCACCATTTTCTTGCATCCTCAATTTCAGTCTCTTCATTGGATCCTTCCACTCTCCATAAAAATACATACCTTTTCACTATCTATCAAAACAAACAACCATAGAAACTTCCTGTGAACCTGCTATGATTTCAAGCTTCTATCCCATATCTCACTTTTCCTTACTCCACACTTTATTAAATATCATCTTCCCTTTTGAAGGCAAAATTTTTGTCTATTCTGTTGGTGCTATATCTTCTGGCACATAGTAGGCAATGCCTGGCACAGAGCAGGCACTCCATAAATACATGGTGAATGGATGAATTGATT